TCTGTTCCTTAGGGCTTCCTGCAAGACCATTTCCACCATGTTACAACTTACCTTTACACTGGCCTGGTGCTAGGAGAACTTGTGTTATTCTGCTTAGTTGATCACCCTCCCTTCTTCTCTAAAGCTGACAACAGTCCTGTAAGTATAAGGTAGCTTTTTCTAATGCTTTGCTTCGTTGCTGAAACAGGATTTTAAATGTATGGGGATGCACAGACACATGATTATCTGGGTGATGTAAGATGCATCATTCTGTAAAAAAGCTGACAGTTTTAAAAGGTAACTGGCAGAATTTGGGATAACAGTGCTCTGTCCCTCTGTGTAAGCTTTTCAAAACTAAAAGCCTATCCATACTCATGTGTCTTGTCACTGAAACCAGTGGTTAGAGCTTCTATTGCTTCCCCTAGTGCTGCTCTCCTGTGCTGCACTACTCTGTTGGTGAGATGAATATGGAAAAGCTCTGTGCTTAAGAAAATAAATGTTTTTGGGTATGAACAATTATATTTTTTGTTCTTCCATCTGAGACATTATGCGAAGTCAAATTCCTAAAAATCTTCCATTTGAGGCTCAATGCACTTACTCTGGTTCAATGAATGGGGAGGGGGATAACTCTGATTGCTTTTCCTAGGGAAGCACAGAAGGGAACTATATTCATCTGACACATGCCCCTTCTTCCTTTACTATGTAAATATCACACGTGTTTTCTCTCCCATCAGAATCAGTGCCCAGAAGCCAGCAGCTCTTTTCTTTCCAAAATCACATACTGGTGGTTCTCTGGGTAAGAAAACAGAAGATGTGTTTTTGCTACAATAGCAGAAAAAAACAGCAGCATCAGAGATCAGAGAGGGTGTAGGTGGCAGCCAGTGGGAAATAGCCCTGAGTTAGCTTATGGAATTAAGATTTAAATTATTTCTTTAAATTATTTCTCTTGTGAGGTATTCCCACAAGATCAAATTATAAAAATTTAATTTACTTTTCTCAAAATACATTAAAATGCAAATTTGTGATTCTAGATAATTCTCTTCTGCCTCCCAACTACCCCTCCAGTGCCCTCCCAATCTTGAAATAGATCTCATCAATCTCAAAAGATGATTGTACACCAAGCACAGCTCTCTCTGCCTGCCAGACCTTGCTGTCACAACTGCAGGGAAAGGGGAAAAGAGTGAACAGGGCATAGGCCCAGTGTGCTGCTGAGCATTCAGAAGTAAAACAATTACATTCCTTAATATCCACTGTGATCAGGTCTCATCTGCCTTTCAGGAGGCCCAGAGAAATTTAAACTGAACTGTCTACTCCACTACCCAAGACTCTCAGTATGGACTAGAAGTTAGGGCTGACTTCCAGATCCCCATTTTGCTGACAGAAGATAGCCTAGGGATTCAAAGCAAAGCTGCTGTTCCTGACATTCGTGTTTGTTGTGGGACAGGACAGTCCTGAGTGGTGTTGGGATGTCAGTGCTGTGTGCTCTCTGTGCTGCACTGCCTTGATGCTCCTGTGTTCTGAAAGAGTCACACACAGTCTGTCAGCACAGATCCTGCTGTGCTCCCCTGACTGCAGTCTGTGTCCTGCAGGCTTCTCTGGAAGGGCTCTCAGCAGGCCTTGAGGGTGGATGACTTGTGGCCAGTGAGGAAGCAGGACTCCTCTGAAGAAATTGTTGCCTGGGCAGAAAGAGAGTGGAAGAAGTGTCGCAACAGAACCCAGAAGTGAGTATTTGATCTGGAGAGCACATCATGGGCTCAGCTGGGCAGTTCTAGATGATCTAAGCAAATACACTCACAGGTACTGCTGTGTGAGTCCCTTTGTGCAAAATCTGATTTGAAGTGTTAAAATCTGCTGGAGAACATCCTTCCACTCCTGGAAGCACAGACCTAACTTACTGTGAGAGCGGTCAGTTTTTGATGAGCTTTTAATACTGGACATGGTATGAGACCCAGTGTGAGATATTTAGTGATTTTTCGAAGATACAAAATTCCCAAGATTTCTCCAGTTGTAGGTAACTTTCTCATTGTTTCTTCCTTCAGGAAAATGGAGTCTGCTACATTTAAAAAGGGTCAGAAAACTGAAACAGCAGAAGCTGAAGAGACAGAGGCTCTACTACAATCAAAGCACAGTCAGATCGGGCCCTTACTGAGAATGTTTTGGAGCATGTTTGGAACTTACTTCCTTCTCAGCACTGTCTGCTTAGTTATCTGTGATGTCTTCTTGTTCTCCACCCCGAAGGTACTGAGGTATGTGCACATTTAAGATGTATTTCTGTCCCATGTACATGATTGCTGTGTGCATGAGCTCAGAGATGTGTATGTCAGCACCTGCAGACATACAAACAATGACCTTTTGAAATTTTTTCTTGATGATGAAAGGAGCTCAGGTGTCATTTATGCTAAACCCACTGTCAAGTCAGGAGGAGAAGACCCAAAGCCACCGTGTGAAGCTGTGCACACGGTCTGCGCTGCTGTGCTCCAGCAGTGGGAAGGACAGGATGCACCAAGCCATCTGACAACATCACTGGAACAGGAGTAATTTGATGGTTCTGTATATCACATCACTTGCTACTTCCTGTAGTCTTAAGGCTCTATGTTCCCTGGCTAATAAAGAGCACAGCTGTGCATCCTACATACCTTAAATAGCTTTGTTAGTTGATTAAATGCTTTTTGAGTTCTGTTGGTACAACACCAACCTGCATTACATTATATTTTCATGGGCAAAAATTCTTTCTTAGTCATTAAGATTAGAAGAAGTTCTGGAAGAACTTCTAAAGAAGAAGAATGTCAGTGACTCCCTAAGGTTACATCTAGCACTTTGCATATTTCTGACAAATTCACGCAAATCAGGAGCCATCCTTAACACTGGAAATGAGTTCTACCCAGAAAGGATGCTGGGATGAGAGATTGCTTCAAAACTATGAGTGGCTAAATTTCAAAAATAAGGATCTTGTATGTTCCAATTGTTCTGCTATTCACTGATAACCCTCAGCCAGAGAGAATACAGAAAAATCACCGGTATTTCTGCCAGTTTATTTTTGTGTGTGATATTTCATCAGTACTGTGTGGATTCAGCAACATTTGGCTTCTGTCTTGCAGCCTTTTCCTGAAGTTCATTGAAGATCAGGCAGCCCCAAGCTGGCTTGGCTACTTCTATGCCTTCAGCATGTTCCTGCTGGGCTGTCTCCAGACTCTCTTTGAGCAGCGCTACATGTACATGTGCCTTGTGCTGGGGCTGAGGCTGAGAACTGCACTAACAGGCCTTGTGTACAGGAAGGTGAGGCTGCAGCTCCTTTTTTAGCTTTGCTTTTATTCTAGCCCTGCCTTAGCAGTAATGATGTACATTGTCCATAGCAATATCAGGGGAGATGTCATTAGAAACTAGTTTTAGGATGTAGATTCATCTCTGAGCAGTACATGGCAGGTACATTTTTTAGAGCTTCCCTATGAAGGAAAAGCCAAGAAAAGGAAAGAGCAAAAATCAACATGAATTTTCTTATGCTGTAGATGATGGCTGGGGAAAAGGAGTAAATGCTTCATCTTGAAGTGAAGTCACATGGCCTAGGTAGCAGCATGCTTTCAATACCTGGGATTTGACATTTTTCTCACTCTCTTTGTTCTCTGTGAGGAGAAGAATGGTGTTTGACTTTTGGACCAAAACTATTGTTTGATAATGTCTTTTCTTTCTTCTCTGCCCTGTCTAGATCCTGGTTATGTCAAGTGCCTCAAGGAAAGCAGCAACCACAGGTGAAATTGTTAATCTGGTATCTGTTGATGTGCAAAAACTAATGGATCTGATTATCTATTTTAATGGGACCTGGCTGGCTCCTATTCGGATTATCATCTGCTTTGTCTTCTTGTGGCAGGTAATATATGACAGTATTTATCAATCCCTTTCTATTCTAAATATCAAAGGAAAAATGAGGTTTCAAAATTATACTTACTAGTTTGAATTACATGAAATTGCCATATTTTTCTTAGCTCTGTAGCACGGTGGATTCACTTTTCTTTCTGAAAGATATTTTTATTGATACAGAATCCTTGTCTGATCCTTCAGTTCATCTACTCACCTGTGTATTCAGCATTCAGTCCCTTTTAGGAGTCTGTGAGTATGGTTATTGTGAGATGACTGATGAACTTCTGCTTCAGATTTTCCTGTCACCTCTTTACAACCAAAAGGTGGTGGCCCGGTGTAGGCTGAAAGTCCAGTTCCAGCTCCTTGGCACAGTCCCAGAACATAATGGAGAATGGTCTGAAATAGCAACTTGACATACTTCATCCTGAAGCCTGATTACCACCAGATCAGTGAAAGAGCTTGAAGCAAAGTTACATGCCATTCAGAAAGAGTATTGGATACTTTGAATTTCACAAATATCTCAGCAAGGAGAGAGCAAAACCTGAATTATAAATAATGGATGGTAATCTAAAAGATCAATTTTTAATCACTGTATGATATTTTTTCAGCAGTACAGAGCCCTGTTGTTTAGTCCCTGTTCTTGGCCAATGGAAGCATGAGCAGTATAGAGACAGGTGATTCACAGGAGCTTTCCAGAGGCCTTTGAGGCCTTCCTTTACTACCCAGGATGGATTGTTCCTCATGTCTGGCAGGATGCTGTGACTGTGAAAATCAGTAGCCCTGGTACAGACTGTTGTGAAGTCATCATCCCTTTTCTAATGACATTAACAAGTTGAATGTGGTTGGAGCATAATTACACTTCCTTTGCTGTTGCTCACAGACCATTTGTGCAGACAATACCTCTAACTCTATGTGTTACTCCCCTCTCCAGCCATCCCTAGGGAGATGTAACTAACCCATAAAGAACAAGTGTTGATACATAATTGTTATGAACCCTGGAATCCAAGAGCTCACCCAAGATAATGGCACAGGGTAATGCCACCATTTCACCTCATGCAGACAAGTTGGGCTATTTATGCTGCAAGAATACTTGGTTGAGGGTTTGGGTTTGTTTTGAAGGAAAATCTGGTGTTGTCTGGGGTCACTTACTCAGGGCAGCCACAAGATGTCCTTCTGAACGCATCCAGGGAAGGAGGAGAAGAGCCGGGAATGGCTTGAATTGCCAGCGTGCCTCTGGATCGCCTTCAGCACCGATCTAGTTCCTAACAAGGGAGCGAATAAATTCAGCACAGCCTGATGACAGGAGTTATCCGGCCTGGAGAGTTAACAATCCACAGTGCTTAGGAGCACAACTCCCTGGAAAGGCAAAAGCAAGACTACAGTAAAGGCTTAGCCAGAGGGTTGTTATGCACAAGTTCAAATAAGAGGGAAGGTAAGCAAGGGACTGAAAACAATCTTGCCTAGTCATCACCAGAAGTTTCTTTTCTTTTCTCTCTGGCAGCTTCTAGGGCCATCTGCCTTGACTGCAATTGCTGTATTTCTTTTTCTTTTGCCTCTGAATTTTGTGATCACCAAGAAGAGGAGTCAGTTTCAGGTACATTTTGCTTCATAAAAATGAAGTGGTTTACTGAGTTATGTGATTACTTATATTTATTCATGCTTACCATGACTGTCTGAAGTAACATAGGATTTGAAGCCCGCAAAATTTCTTGAAATTTAGAGTAAGCTTTTCCATGTTCAACCTTTTTACTATGTTTGCCCTACATTTCTGTTGTTTTTATGTATTGCCAGTAAAAATAGAGCTCTGAAGATGAAAATTAAAATATTTCCCAGCCTAGAAGAGTCATAAGCAAAACAGTATACACAGATCAACTGCAGGGAAATTTATTCAGGACTTGGAGGCAGGAATAAGGTATTTTTCTTCAGAATAATTGCACAATTAAACATTCAACCTATTAAATGATAAAACTCAAACATTTATTACAGGAAGTCCAGATGAAACATAAGGATGAGAGGGCCAAACTCACCAATGAAATTCTCAGTAACATTAAAGTAATCAAACTGTATGGCTGGGAGAAAACCTTCATGGAGAAAGTATTTGGAATCCGAAAGCAAGAACTTCAGGCCTTAAAAAAATCTCAGATTCTCTTCTCAGCATCCCTAGTTTCCTTCCATTCATCAACTTTCCTGGTGAGTGGATCACCTTCCTACGTAAAACATATGCTGTTACTTCCCTTTTCCTTTGTACTCCTGCCTGGACAGATTTTTCCTGTGGACAGCTAAATATTATATCTGCCTGGAGGTCACAGGAGTTGCTGTGGCTGCTGCACCAAAACCTCCTTAAAGCAGAGCAAACGTCCAGTGATCAAAACTAGTTCTGTCACCAACATGCCAGACCTTTGCCTGTGGTACCTGCAGGACAGGCACCTAGAGAGGATAGCCTGGATTTAACCCAATGGGTCCCAGAATCTTGAAGGACCTGTCACCCTTGAACCATTCTGAAGCAAGTGGTTTGCTTGTCCTTTGCTTCCTTTCAGATCACATTTGTCATGTTTGCTGTCTACACCCTGGTGGACAACACACACGTGCTGGATGCTGAGAAGGCCTTTGTGTCCTTGACACTGATCAACATCCTCAACACTGCCCACTCCTTCCTGCCCTTCTCCATCAACGCTGCTGTCCAGGTTAACTGCAGGCCCTGTCCCTCTTCCTTTGGCCATAAGGGGTTTTTTACATATCCCCATTAACAGGTAAAGGCAGGGGTTTCTTAGGGCTCTGCACATCAGCTATTTAATTGCCACTGTGAAATGGTGACGTGCAAGGGCTTGCAGCTAAAGGTACTGTGTGGCATTGCTTTTCAGAAAGACTCCTTTATATTGACAAAACAGTCAACAAGAATTTCTCCTAAGTCTTTTGTAGCTCAGCACAAGCACTATTAGATCTTAGAGGGGCTTCCAGTTCTGTTTTTAATCACAGAAATCAGAACAGGTGGAACAAAATCTCCATAGGGGAGACCCTGCTGGTCCAGGCCAGAGAAAAAAGCAATTCACAGTTCAGTAAGAAATTAGGAAATTCATTTCCCTCTTACCCTCTAAGACTGTCACAGATTTTCATGTACAGAAGCAATCACTGGGAAGATTGCAAGAAGAATTGGATGAAAAAGTGCCAATTTCACTGAACCAGAAGCACAGGGAAGGATATGGAGGTTTTACTAAGCTAAGTAGAAATAAAGGCAGGTAACATAAGGAAGAGCTGCCTTTGGCCATCTAAGCTGCATAGCACTATTCAGTATTCTAAGTGGGTCTTCAAACTGAGTCTTCACTTTGGGTTTTTGCTCCCTTTCTACTCTAAATCTTATTTTCTTCTGTGTGCTGCTTCATTTCAGGCCAAAGTTTCCTTAAACCGTTTAGCAGCTTTTCTGAATCTGGAAGAACTGAATCCTGAGAGCTCAAGCAGAAACAGTTCTGGCTGTGGTAAGCTTTTATGTTAGCACTTGTGTCAAATAAGAGGAGTAATTTCCATTGTTCAGCTTCTACTCAGGGTATCTACCATAGCCAAGAGAAAAATATTTGCCCCTTACTGTCACTTTATCTCTCTGGCCTCATTATTTCTAACAATGAAATCTAATGTGGTGATATACCCCTTCTTTTCATAATAAAGGTTGATTTTTTTGTAACATTAATACACATTGAAACATAAAATCACATAAATTGGGACATTTCTGTAGCTATCTCTGCATTTACAAGTGGTCTGTCTCTCTTCATGTTTTAGTACAGGCAAGTATCACCATAAGAAATGGGACTTTTTGTTGGAGCAAAGAAACTTCTCCTTGTCTTAGAAGGTACAGACTTACCCTTAGTCATCCCTCAATACTGTAGGTCAGGGTGGATGCTGGATGAACTAAGGCCTGAAGGCCTAAGTGAAACCAGGGAATATCCAGAGAGTTTTGAGTTTGCTTCATATTCAGTGTTGAATTCTGAAAATTATAAAATCAGATAAAACATAATTTTGCTTTTATGTTGAGGTGTACATAAATGGGAAGGTGCTGGTATCTGGATGTTGCCTTATTATATGGGGGCTGTTTTCTTTATACAGTTTTCTTGCCAAATATGAAATTACAGTGATTTAAGGCAAAAAAGTAGAACAGATGGAATGCAGATATCATATATGACATCACTACATGCTTACTGCAAAAGGAATTGACATTTTAGAAAAGAAGAGCTTTGAAAAGTTCTGATGTTCAAGAGTGTTCTACATCCAGTGCTTTGGGCTAGCCTATCTCCAGAGTGAGGATCTGGGTATGAAACTCAGATGGGGATGTGGGTGAAGACTTCCTGTTTGGAGGTGTCTGAAGGGATGAAATTAGGGGATTTACTCAATACATACCAAACAATAGCAAGAATTTTGATAATAATTACAATTATTTGCTTTCAGAAAGAGTATCTAAATGTGCTAAGAGACTGATCTTTTCCCCCAGCATAGAGCTCAGCGTGCCCCAGGGCTCTCTGCTGGCTGTGGTTGGCCAGGTGGGTGCTGGCAAGTCCTCCCTGCTGGCAGCGGTGCTGGGCGAGCTGGAGGCCACTGAGGGCTGCGTGACCATGAAGGTGAATTTTCCCTTCAGCATTTGCTTCTAATTAGGCTGTTTTCAGGAACTGTAAGGTATGAACCACTGCATTAGTTACCTGAGGAAAACCCATTTAATGCTGAATTTTAACACAGGATGTATCTATCAGTCCACATTTAGTTATCTGAAAGCACTGCAGACTTCTCAGATGAGCCTGAACTTTGTGAATAGGAACTGGAACAATACTGCAATGATCCAGTTCTATTTCTCCCTCTGACAGTGAGCTGAAGTGTCATCCTGGTAATTGCATCCTGTACTTGCACCTCTATTCACTCCCCTGTAAGGTAATAACAGTGCACTCAGATGTTGTAAAGCCTTCTGAGAATTGTCAGTGCTGATGATCATTCCAGTTTTCCACAACTGGGAGAGCTTTTCTTCAAAGATGGGTTCTCACAGTGTCAAGTTGAGCTTATGGAAAAGTTTGCTAACATTCTTTCACTTCTATAGGACACTGCAGCTTATGTCCCCCAGCAAGCTTGGGTTCTAAATGCTTCAGTGGAAGATAATATTCTGTTTGGGAAAGAGATGGATGAAACCTGGTTCAATAGAGTGACAGAGGCTTGTGCACTGCACCCTGATTTGGAGACCTTCCCTGCAGGGCAGAAGAGTGAAATAGGAGAAAAGGTACTGCCTTGGGTTTATGTTTTGGCCAACTTTTCCCTTAGTAGCTACAACTTCAAGTGTCCTGCTGAAAACATCTACCCCTGAGTAACTACAACTTTGGGAGCTGTGATGAAAACACAAAAAAACCTAAACTCACAAGAGGCAGGTGCTCAGGAATTTCTGGAAAGTTAGGCCATGATTTAATTTAATTTAAGCCCATTTCTGACAGCCTAACCAGAGAAATAAGAGATGTTTAAGAGAAAAATCAACACATCCAGGTTATTCTTGGGTGCTCTTTTGCAGGAAAGAGTTGTTCAAGAGACTCTGCCTCTGCAAGAGCCCTCTTTCGAGGGAGGGAGCAAGGGAGGTACACTGATTTAAAAATAAGAAAGTCATAAAACATCAGTGTAAAAGGAAGTCAGCAGTTGGGAAATATGCTGTAGCTTTGAAATGAACAAAGTCAATATATTTTCTAGGGAATCAATCTGTCTGGAGGGCAGAAGCAGAGAGTGAACCTTGCTCGGGCCGTGTACCAGAAGGCTTCGATTTACCTGCTCGACGATCCCCTGTCAGCTGTTGATGCCCACGTTGGGCAGCACATTTTTGAACATGTTCTTGGACCCAATGGTTTACTGAAGGACAAGGTGTGTATGAACCTGAACTATAAACAATTGCACAATGTCTCTGATTAGCAGAGCCCCCAAAATGTTTCCAGTAAGGTGGGTTGCTCTGTTTATCAAACTCACAAACGCTTTTTTGTAGTGGCAGCAGGGGAACTGGGGAACCTCTGCAGGCCACACAGCACCTGCAAATCCTGCAGGGCATCTCATTCCGAAGGAGGAAGGCTGTCTTTATCCTCATGCAAACCATATGCCTAGTGTCAGCCTTGCTTTCACAGCAAGTTTGCAGTTCTTTGGTCTTCTGTGGACATCCTTCCCTCCTTTTGAGATTTACTTCTAGCACGGTTCAGAGGAGATGCCTGATCTCCTCCAAATTCTATCATCATCATGTCTAATCCCATTACTTTTGAATAGTTCAGGGGCATGTTTACACTTCTCATCACCCAAATGTTCATCACTTAAACACTTCTCCATTATTTTTGCATTGGTTGTGTTTTGTTTTTCCTGGGTATTCCTCTGCTGTCAAGCTATCTGGATAATAAACATGGTTACATGAGAAGGAATGCTAGGGCAGCTCTTTTGGATTCATACTACAAATTGCCTAGAAATACTTGATTCAGTTTCACATTATAGAAGGGAAACAGGAAGAAGGCAATTGCTTGCATTACAAAGTCCAATTAAAACAAACATATATATAAATACCTTTCTCTCCATGAGATTGGTTGCAAGTATCAGAATATAATTATTGTATTGAAACAGAATGACTTCCTAAGAACGATGTAGCAGACATAAGGTGTACTCAAAGGGCTTGACTGTATATTAGAAATGCAGAATATGCCAATTTATCTAGGGAAGAATTACTTTTCTTATATCCTTTCCTCCAATTATCTGTGCAAAAATGCTCAGAAATGTAAATAAAAGGAAATACCCTTTAATTCCATTCAGGCTGGTGACTTTTTGAGGCCTAAATTTGATCCTGAAATACTGATACCAGTACTGACAGCAGAACAATTGTAAGTGCTCCTTCTTTATTCAAGCAGACTCGTGTGCTGGTGACTCACACAATTAACATTTTGCCTCAAGTGGACAACATTGTTTTTCTGGTGGATGGAATGATCTCAGAAACTGGTTCCTACCAAGAACTTCTACAGAGAAATGGAGCCTTTGCAGATTTTCTCCATTCACACATTACTGCAGAAGAGAAGCCACCTGCTGGTTTTGCAGGTAACCCAGATGGGTTGGAATCATTCTTGCTAGGTCTATCAGTCAATTGTTCCCTACATATCACATCTGTTTTATTACGGACATTTAAAGCTGAGATCCAATCACAGTAAGGTGTTGCTTTGTGTAAAAATGGAAATTTTGTGTGGAAAAATATGGCTATCAAATCAGCTGACTCATCACCTCAAAACTGGTTCTTGAATCCATATTAGTAGACAATAATCAAGCAGTAAACTATTAATCACTGTATGTGCTATTCTTCAAGCTTCACCTTGATATTTCTTTAGAATCAATTTTTAAAAATTAATCTTTCCTCCATATATTACCAGTCTTTCAAAGGCTGTATAGGACAAAACAGGATTCTAAAGCATTTAGAAAAAAATACATTTATTTCACAGCTATGGGAGACACTAAAGGCACTATCACCATTGGAAGTGGTCCATCTCAGGAGAAACCCCTCAGGTAAGCTTAAAGCAGTCTCAGATACTGAAGAATTTACTCCAAAAGCCCATATAAGCCTACATAGAGGCTCTTGCTGAGTATGATACAGGTTTGGGATTGATCTGTAAAAAAATAACAAGAGCAAACAAGCAAAACTCAAGAATAGGTAAAAACCTGCTCTTGAATGTGGAAGTTGACTCCTGTATTTCACAAGGAGGCAAGACAGAGCTCAAGTACAGGCTCCTTGATACATTTGGTTGCTGGTCACTTCCCTGTGGGGCTGTAAGGTCAGGCTGATCCCAAACCATCCTCAGAGTGAATGCATTTTTCTGCTCAGTAGCTTGACAGAGCTCAGTCCTTGTGACAAACATGGACAGTGGCTGGGGACACTCTGGAGGAGCCTGAAAACTGCAGCCTTCAAAATAGGCATGGATTTAAGCGTGGATGGGTGGCTGAAAATTGAAAGGATTTTTGTTTTCTTCGTGAAGTGGTGATTCAGTAAAATCTGCTGTGGGAAGAGAGACCATTCCTGGGAGCCCAGACTGCACCAGTCCTGCAGCCACCAGTGGAGGATTAACCAAGGCAGAGAGAACTCAGCACGGCAGGGTAAGCACAGCACCTTCCTGTAGAGGCAAGGACACATTCCATGGGGATAACACACCCATGGCAGGCAGGCCAGCTCTCTGCCTCAGCTAAACCAGAGCCAGGGCAGTCAGCTGAGCTGTACAAGTGTGCCCTGTAACTGAGACAAGGACATATTGTACTAAGAAATGAGAGCAAGAAGTCAGAAACTCCAAAAGAGGCAGCTTTTTCTTTATGGAACCCCAGCTCTATCCAGACTGGGATCTCCTCACCTCTCCAGATCAGCAGGCCACACGAGCACCCAGTGTGAACATGACAGTTCTGTCTCACACCAGCACACATGAAAACCACTGCCTGACATAAAGAAAGCCTTATATGTATTCCAGAAGTACCATGAGCCTATTGCTTAACATTCATCCATTGATAATAATCATTCATTAGTCATTTCTTTAACTGCCTTCGTTATCCATCCATGAGGAAAACAAAACAAGAATCAACACGGTTACTGTGACATATCACTGAGAAATCCCATTATAAATCACTCCTTGCTTCTGAGCTGCTTTTTTTAGCTAACAACCTCCTCTCCTCCTCTTTCTGCCCACGTGTCTCTGCAGGTCAGAGCTGGGGTGTACAGAGCCTACCTGCAGGCGGCAGGCTGGGCACTGGCTGCCTACGTGCTCCTGTCCTTCGCCTGCCAGCAGGCCGTGGCCTTCTCCCGGGGCTACTGGCTCAGCCTCTGGGCAGATGACCCCGTGCACAACGGGACACAGCAGCACACAGAGCTCAGACTTGGAGTCTTTGGTGCTTTAGGAGTTGTTCAAGGTGTGTTGAAGTTGCTCATCTAATTCTCAGTATTCCCACCTCCCTGTCCCATATCCAAGATGT